GTTATTACAATACAGTCAACACTCGTTATTATTACAAACGAATTGGTATTTAAGTTAAATGAATGAATGAGACGTCGAATAGGATTAACAAAAATATTTGTGTTTATAATTGAATCAAATTTTTATTTTTTAAATAAATTGAACAAAATTTTGAAATAAATAGTAATTGAAATACAATTAAATGTTAAGAACAGAAAGAAATTGAATTAAATTAGCAATTAATGGTTGAATTGTTTTGACGGCAATAAAATTCCCATACATTTGAAGATTGATTTGCTTTAATAGTTTTGAGTTTAGGACTTCTGGACAACAGATCATTGAAATCATTATACGAGAGATCAGTGCATGGATTGCAGTCAATGACAAGCATTTGCAGCGCCGGTAGTCTTGAGATGTGAGACAACTGTGTCTTAAAGTCGGTGTCTATGAAGTGATTCGAGCCTTCAATGAACAGGTATTGAAGTCGCGGACACTTTATGTGCAAATCTTTCAACACATTTGCTGTCATTTTCAGTAAATCCAACTCTAAATGCATTAATCCCTTGCAGTGTCTCAACGGATCCAATGATATCTCATCGTTGGTCGCAGCTATGCGTAACTCTAATCGTTTTAATCGGTGACAAAATCGCAACGAATCCAATGTCTTGTGATTGAATCCATGGCTATCGGTGTGCGACAAATGAAGTGACAATCGCTGTAATTGTTTGCAATTCACGCCAATTGCATGCAAACAGTCGGTGAGTGAGGTTTGAGCGCCGGTTATGTTCAACGCGAGTCTCAATCGCCGTAATTGTGTTAATCGTGACAACTGTGCCGACAGTCTGGTCAGTGACTCTTCAGATACACGTATGTTATTATTAACGTTAAGACATTTGAGTGACTCGTTGTGCGCCACGAATGCAGACAATCGGTGGTAATCCTCGTCTGAATAGGAATATAATTCAAATTTATTCAAATTCTTTGCCATTAGTTGTCCGGAAGTGTCGAAGACTTGACTCAAACGACTGACAAATAAATGAGACAATCGGTGGCAATGAGTGAGTGATTGAGTGTCGTTAGTATTGTCGTAAACATTGATTCGTGTGACCAGTGGTCCGATTGTAAGCATTGTTTGCTCACAATTTGGCCATAAATTGCAATAAATTTCACGCAAATTAAGATAATTGTCTCGAAATATGGCCAACACTTCGGAAATGTGTTTTTCATATTCGGCGCCCATTTGACAGTCAATGGTCTGAATCTTTGGACACTTTATGCCAATTGTGGTCAATAATTGGGTTTTAATTGTCGTCTCATTCAATAATTTGCGAATTAATCTATAGTTAAGAGTGATGTCCACAACACTCCCGAAGACTGTCCTCTGGAACTGTTTGGACACACATTCCAAACGAAAACGATCTTCAAGTGAGAGATAAGATAATATGAGTGCACACATGTCATCACCGAATCTGTCCATTGAGTTCTTCGCGTAAATCTGTGTCCAAAATGAGTAAAAAATAATTAAAACTCAATAAATATACAAATGATTGTCAAAAACCTCTTTTCTCTGATCTCTTTCGCCGTCATCTGTGGTCTCGAGTGATGCCATCATTTGTTTCTTCTGTTGCGCCATATCTTGGGATCCAATGAAGTGATTGTACGAAACGTTTGATTGAAATTGAATTAAAAAATTGTTTTCAAAATCAAAACAAATGTCAAAAACAATGCTTTAATAAATGGCAATAAATGTAAATCTAAACGAGTGTCGACTGTATTGTGAAAACCTATTGAAAAACATTTCTACAGGAAATGAACGCAAACTGTACTCATGTTATGGCCGTTGAGTGCAGACAATTGAAATGCAAACGTAATACAAACGACTCTCGATATAAGTGTCACAAATAGAAATGTGACATAAATTTGAGGCAAAATACATGTTAAAGACGTAATTAATGGCCGAATAAAAAGTGATGCAAAAAATTATTGACATTTGTTTACAATTTGAATCACTCTTTCATAAAATCACTTCATTTGATCCCAAGATATGTCTCAACAGGTATTTGACAAACAATTCACTGTTTATTGAGTTTTAATTGTTTTTGTTTCACATTTTAGCCACAGATTTACGCGAAGAACTCAATGGACAGATTCGGTGATGATTTGTGTCAACTATTATTGTCTTATCTCTCACTCGAAGACCAGTTTCGATGCGAATGTGTGTCCAAACAGTTCCAGAGGACAGTCTTAGAGAGTGTTGTGGACATCACTCTTAACGGGCGATTCATTTATAGATTATTCAATGAGAAGACAATTGACACCAAAATGTTGGCCACAATTGCCATAAAGTGTCCAAAAATACAGACCATTGACTGTCGAGGAATTCATTCATTTATTGCATACATTCCCGAAGTGTTGAACACATTTAGAGACAATTGTCGACATTTGGGGCAAATTTACTGCAATTTATGGGCAAATAGTTTGCAACAAATGCACACTTTGTGGCCACTGATGACCCGAATCGTCGATATGAACACTAATGCCAGTGAAAGCCAAGCGCTCTCTCAGTGCCACCGATTGTCTGAATTGAAAGTCTATTATTTAGACCAAGTCTTTGACATCACTTCCGGACAACTATTGGCGACAAATTTGCATAAATTTGAGTTATATTTCTATTCAGTCGATGATTACCACCGATTGTCTGCATTTGTGACACAGAATCAGAGCCTAAGAAGTATTGTCGCAATGAATAGATATAACACAGACTACACTCTACACGAAATGTGCGGACAATTGTCACGATTAACACAATTACGGGAACTGACACTCGGAGTGAAGTTAACCACTGATCAGCACTTATTGACCGACTCTTTGCGCACAATTGGCGTGAATTGCAAACAATTGAAACGATTGGCACTTAATTACTGGTCGGAAGTCAATGAACCCCATCTCAAGTCATTGGATTCGTTGCGATATTACCGGCGATTAAGACGTTTGCGTTTAACACTCGATGTGACCGTCAAAGAGATATCATTGGATTCGTTGAGAGACTGCAAGAGATTAACGCATTTAGACATGTTTTCAGTGGGAATGGCGGCCAAAGTGTTGCAAAGTGTGGCCAATAATTGTTTACGACTTCAATACCTATCGATTCATGACTTCTATAGCATTATAGACACCGAGTGTTTGTCTCACATCTCAAGACTACCGGCGCTGCAAACGCTTGTCATTCACTGCTATCAATACAATGATCTCTCAGATAATCATTTCTGGGATCTATTGTCGAGAACTCCTAAACTCAAAAGCATTGAAATCTATGGAAACAATATCTCTAATATTTATTGCCGTAAATAATGCTTTAATTGACAGTTAAATACAATTACTTTTTAACTTGTATTGAAATCACTGATTATTTGAATAATTATTTCATAACATTATTTTGTAAACATTTTGTGAAATTATGTCAAATATTTAATTTAATAAAAAGAATTTAAAAATTATTTAATTAATTTTAAAAATGTGTTCAAAATTCAGTCTAGACTTAAAAGTTTGGGGCTCTTATAGTTGGAGTCCTCCCTCACATCCAGATTAGTGCCGGTAATAAACTGAACATCAATTGAGGCCATTGATAACGGCAATGAATAGTTCACTGATTAAAATATTAATTTATTTATATAAAGTTAAATAATATTTAAATAAAATCAGGTTTAAAATATAGACCAATAAAATAGTTTCATAAAAGCGTACATTTATCCGGAAAATAAGGGTATTGTAACATACTTTATATTCAATTTATTACATTTGGTATTTATTCAGATATATTGTTAGCTAAAAATGTATCAAAGCTTTACATTTAATCAAAGAAATAAATATTCAACAAAATAAATCATTATTTTTTGTGCGGTTTTAAATTAATACGATATACAAAATTGTGTTTTAATTCAATAATTAAACAGATTTTAGGCGACAATTGATTGTCAAGTAAAACGCCAATCAATGAGTGTTTAGTTCGGACCAACGTTTTGACACATATTTACCAATACGAGTGCTTAAAGCATAGCCATAGAGTATGAGTGCCGTAACGGATAGCGCGGATACGCCGACCCACACGCCAACAGTGCCGCCCATATTGTACACCAATTCCGGCCAATCCATAGCCAACTGCTCCACAATCAGGGCTTCGAACGCGTGTTCGGGGATTAGATTCACGCGAGTAATGCCTGGAAGTGATCGACGACGGGTTAGGACTGACCATTGGGTATAAGTTTGATCACAATCGGGTAATACCATTTTACCATATTCACACTCGTAATAGCTGGAATTTAAAGCGAGTTCCCTAAACAAATTAGCCTCACGTGCGCTACTATTTGGACAGAATTTATAGCCCCAGTCCTCCAAAACCGTTTTGATGTCTATTGTGTACAGAATTGTTGGCAATGAGTGCGCCGGTAAACACACTCCACTACCGGTGTTATTGTTATACAAGCGTGTAATAGCCGCCAGTTTGCAACGCTCTACGCGGTTATGTATGCGGTCACTGGACTCATGGCACCGGTAGTTCGGCCGCTGTATGCGTCGAAACGTGTTGCTAGTAATCCGGAGATCAGTTTCGGTATTAATGTCGATGAACAAAACGTCATGTGTTTGGTTACCCGGTTTGTACATAATTAGGTTTCTCATGTGTTCACTCCGTAGTGTAATGGACGCGGACTCGACTCGCGATTGAACGCCGGGCACCCGATTGCCTGTTATTGTTGAGTGCAATTGGGTCTCAAAATCCAAGAAAAATGTGATTAACATCGCAACTTTATCAAGGTGATTGAATTGAAACATCACTTTAGGTGGACCGCACGGCACACGTTGGCCGCTCGTTAGCAGGAAGTGGCAATCCTTTATAGTAGCCCTGTAATCGTATATTAGGCGTCTAAACCTGGTCAAATTGTTCCGCATCATTTCACGTCTTATTATTTCCTTATATATGAATAAAACTAACGTTAATTTTTCAACCTTAGATTGTAAAATATTGCTCTCGGCTAGTGTGATGCCAATCATTTCAAGCGGGTAATATTTAGCCAGCTCCCATTTATTGTGATAGGTCGTATCGAAGACCAAATTTAATACAGGTATCCATGATGTTTGTGTGAGTTGCATTTTGAATGTGACATTATCATTGATATAATCGATGTAAACCAACATCAAATTATACCCCATAAACACAGTGCAAATTACCATAGCAAACCACTGGAATATTTTATAGCAACGATTGATTAAACATAATTTTTTGCGTACATTTATCATCGCGTTATATGCGGCCATTCGCAGCGCTCGTCGCACACATACTAACGCTGTATTTACGATAGACAATACGCTCAGCCCTAACCACATACCCATTAGACCGCCGATCGATGACCAGTACGTTACGGGATTTGTCTTGGGCGAATAGTGCCAATACATACGTACATGTGGTGAATTAAGGTACATTATTATCCTCGTATTCTTATCTTTAAAACGCGTCAAGAGATGAGACTCTTGAAAGCTATATTCAGGCAAATAGCGGTCGCATTCAATGGGACAGAGTTGGCTCAGGTGACGATAATCTGGTTTGACTACACATTGTGGCGATGACTTATTTTGGGCGCTTTTAAAAAAGCCTTTTCTCCATTTGACAGTCATCTCGTGTGCGTCCGACACGTATTCCGGGTAATCCCAGTACCGGTTATAACCGCACTGTTTGTACTCCAATGCGCGCATCGCTCTCAACATACAGTCCTCGCGTGATTGCGGGCTGCGATCTCGTGAGTCATTGCTCAACAGTGTGTACCGGTGCTCATTGGCTACGTAGTCGTAACACCCGGTCTGATAGGGCGGCGGCAGTAGTTTCTGGTACGTAAAATCGGCCCGAAAATGATACTGACAATTGTCGGTCACCAACGAATGCCATTTCGCAAAGTGTGTCGTTTGGTGCGTCCCGTGAAAGGCCACCCGAACCGTTCCCGTTTGGCCGGCGGTCACCAACGAAGTCATATAGTTGGCCAACCCTTTGCGCGCCTCACCCGTCGGTGTGAGTCCAGTGAACGTCAAGCATATACTGCCGTCATATTTATGTCGTACGCCTACCGGCGAGTTCTTGCACTCAATGCCACTCTGGCCCGATATGCACCCGATAAATGTGGTTAACCAATACACGGCCGGACTGTATATAGAGTTACGCGGATTGACACATACGGTGGCCGCTAAGGAATGAATGCTTTGCTCGTACTTCACGTCATTCACGACTTCGTACGACAAATAGTGAAGCGTTTCGTTCAACACTTGGTATAGAAATCCAATTATAATCACGAGTTTTATAACTCGTTGTGAATTGAATTTTAGTTCAATTCCTGTTAAGTATTTATTATACATTATAATATTATTTATACCGACTCTGCTAGCGATATATTGTGTAATAATATATTTATGTTATATTTATTATATTTTTTTAGGGCAAATAATATTATGTATATATTTTTCTGAATTATATTATTTAGCTTTTGTTGTCAGACAAACTTATTAACATGTTAATTGATATGATAATTTATTTAGTGGATATTAATTGGTATTATTAAATATTGAAAACATATTGTAATATATAATATTAATAAAATATTATATAAAAATTTAATGAATTTATACTTTAT